CTTGAGTAAAAGTAGAAGTACCCAGATCTTGTACTTGAGTAAAAGTAGAAGTACTCAGATCTTGTACTTGAGTAAAAGTAGAAGTACTCAGATCTTGTACTTGAGTAAAAGTAGAAGTACTCAGATCTTGTACTTGAGTAAAAGTAGAAGTACTCAGATCTTGTGTAAAAGTAGAAGTACTCAGATCTTGTACTTGAGTAAAAGTAGAAGTACCAGAGTGTAGGAATACTCTGTTACAGTAAAAGTCCTGCATTCAAAATGTTACTCAAGTAAAAGTAGAAAAGTATTCTCATCAAAATATAAAGTAGCGACAGTAAAAGTAGTCATTGTGCAGATTGGTCCATTTCAGAATAATATATATGATATGTTTTATAATGATTGATCATGAAAGTGTTCTCAAAGCTGGTAAAGGTGCAGCTAGTTTGAATGACTTTGTATACTGCAGGGTAGCTGGTGGATTTACTCCAGGTGGAACTAAAGTCTGATTTAACACTTGATTAGATTTCACATCATTCATCAACATCTGTGAAGTAACTAAAGGTATTAAATACATGGAGGGGAGTAGAAGTACACCATGTACCTCTGAATTGTACTTTAGTGCAGTACTTGAGTAAATCTACTTGGTTACTTCACCCCAGTGTTTACAGGTAGTGGAAATGTGCTCCATTTATAGCCCTCTGTACCTTCAGAGCGATGTGTTTGCGGAGACTTTTGGCGCCTTTTCCCGCTTCACACATCCTCACTACACTGGTCAGAGTGTGTGTGAGGAGAGGGGGAGGCGTAGGTGCCCAGCAATCCATCAAACACACACACACACACACACACACACACACACACACACACACACACACACACACACACACACACACACACACACACACACAGGGCCCACTTTATGGGGGATTAAAAGCAGTCCAAGTGTTGTCATGGTAAGAGCGAGTGTGTCTACAGTGTGTGTGCGTGGGCAGATATCGAAGAATGCGAGATGGGAAGCCAGCCCGTATTTTTCAAGCAGCCGATGGTAAACAAGCTCTCGGTTCAACGGGTTTGAAGCAGCTGGAAAAAATGTTGTGGAGGGAGCTCAGCCTCAGCTCTCTGGAGGAGAAAGCAAACTCCTAACAAGCTCTCAAACAAATCACTGGATCTCTGCTGTCATAAAACATCAAGTAATACACGGAGCTTCACCTTGGGAGGACTGCCGTTCTCCTCGGGCGGCGGGGGCAGGGCCAGGGTCTTGTTGTTGGAGGGTGGGGGGTCCGCGTGGTAGTCATTGTAGTTTCGGAAGCAGCAGAAGAAGGGGCTGAAGATGCTCCGGCTGCGATGCTTCTTTAAGCTGCTGTTGGACTGGGAGACTGGAAGAGACAAGGAGAAGAGAGAGTGAGGTTATCTGCATTTAGACGAAGTTTCAGCAATACCAGAAACACTTATTTTAAAGAGCCTTGTTACGCTTTTTGGGGTGTTCCCTCTCCTGTAGTGTTGTATAGGTTCCTGTGCACGTACATGTTCAGCCAAGGCTAAAATGTCTCCCAATTATCAAAATGGTTTGACTTGTTAAAGTGTTAAATGCCGTAATAACACGATGTCTTGACTTGAAGCTTTTACATTCATTAAGACGCTCTCTGATCCACATGCACTTCCACCTTGAAATCGTCTAGACTTTCCCTCGAGGAGATGCGTGACAGAACGAGAATAATTATGCAAAAGGGCAATAAAATAAACTTTACCCTGCCTATTTCAAAGTCTGTGTAATGTCCGATGCTCCGTGTGACGGCTCGTCGTCAGACAGACTGTGTTTCACACGCATCGTCGCATCACGGTGACAGAAAGCGGCTGAGACGTACAGTTTGTGCTGCAACACAGCGAGGGAGCGCAGGGACAAAAATAGCCTTCACCAGAGGGCCTGTGGGAAGCCAGGCCGCTTAATTAACGTCAAGAGCAAGAGTAATATCAGATACGGGAGAGAAAGCGGCAGAAAATATGACAATTAAAGAGAAATATGATTTCAAATGAAATGCAAATTAGAATCTATGTTTTGGAAACAAACCCAGTTCTTTTCACTGAGGAGAAAACACACACACACACACACACACACACACACACACACACACACACACACACACACACACACACACACACACACACACACACACACACACACACACACACACACACACACACACACACACACACACACACACACACACACACAGTATAGGTCCCTGGTTACATCATGCCTCCTTCACTGTCTCTGAAGCCCGTGGCCTACTTTCACACTGGCGGAGCAGAAACCATCCGGCTCAAAGGGTCTGCAGTTATACATTTTTCTATCATGGATTATAATTTAAATGTTCCGTCTGGATAAAAATAGAAATGTGGGCACAAAGGCTGAAATCAGACATATCCCGAGGTGTTCCTGGAGTGGGAATCCTGCCGCTTTAATTGCTTGAAAGGTGAGTTCTCGGCATGGAGATCCCAAATCTGTGCAGGACTTTGAAGTCTGTCCACAGGCTGACTGCAGAATCATCTTCTTATTTGTTTTGGTGTCCCTCTCGCTGGCGTCTTGTTAACGTGTTCATGCAGCCGTGTGACACAGTTAGCCACGCTGAGACTTCAGATCCTGAAACTTTCCTCGGGGCGCCTCCGGCTGGATCTGACAGACCGTGGTGGTTCGACTTCTTTCTTCTCTCAGGCCTTTGCAGTCCACAGCCCGAGCAGCTTGGGTAAACAAGCGCTGCTATAGGTTCTGAACACCCTGCCTGTCTGAGAGAGGATTGAAGGAGATGTGCTGCTCTGTGGACTCGATGCACTCACTGTTGGGAACAAGTGCATACGTATGTTTATAGATTAATTAGGAGTATATTAGAAAGTGGTACCAAAAATGTACATTTTGTCCACCAAAGATTGCATTAATTGCATCTTGGGTAACAGCAAAGGTGTCAGAGACTCAAAGATATTTGGTTTTCGTGATTGCACCATTTCCATTTTGGAGGGACCCTCGCTCACTCTCCTTAAACTTTCCTCAAACTCTTTGATGTCATGCTCTGCTCCTCCATTTTGAGACCATCTACATTTTCCCGCCCTGGTCCGCTAACTCCGAATGAAAGCAGGTGGGAGAGCTGGAGCGGGACCGAGGGGGGAGAGAAAGAGTCGATGGGTGGGAGAGTTAGTGTGCCGAGACAGCCTATACTTGGGTCTGATTCTTACTCCACCCCCTCCTGCACCACCACCCAAACAGAGCCTTCCTTTCTCCCCACGACACAAACAACATCGCCACACACACACACACACACACACACACAC